CTTGAGCAATTGCTTAATGTTCCTGAGCCTTGATTCCATGCTCTGCACAAGGGGCAGCATAATACCTGCTCACAGATGGGTGAGGATTACACGAGAGAAGTGGGGAGTGCAAAGTGCATAGTTATCTGTAGGGGAAGGAAAACTTGATCCTCTTGGGTAATTCATGGGGGCCTGCAGGTTAACACGGTGCTCCTGGGAAAAGAACTGAAAGCCCAAAGAAGTGATTAAACCTAGGGGTGGTCAGAGACCATGTTAACAAAGGGCGATACATTGTGACGTGACTAGAAAAGAGTAAGAGGTTTGGGCTTCTTGGGTAGTAAATTATGGGAGGATAGATACACGGGGGAACTAATGGTAGGTGAGGGTTGTTTAGTAAGGTGTGTTTATACAGACTCAGCTAAGCGCCATCTTTGTCTCTGGTGATAATAATTATTCTCCCTCGGGTAAAAGAGGGGGGGGCGGTTCTTCACCAGGGGCATTTATATCCCCTTTATGCTCCGCTGTTAATGCAGATAGGGAGCAGCCACAATGCTCCTCCTACATCTGCTGTTTCTCAGTTGTCTTCAGCTCAAAATAATCCTTATGCCAAAATAGCATATTTGGGGTGGCATATTCTGATCCCCTTCATATCCATTACTTTAGGAGAAGAAAGGGCCCTTCTTTATCCCTGTATTCCCAGGGTGTCTGGCTCATAGTAGATGCTCAGGCAAACGTTTACAATGGCACATCGAGGAGTGAGACATTTCCTCCCGTGAGGAGTCGAGTCTAGGCCCTCAAGAGTCCTGAGCCTGTCTTCCTCCTGGGGTCACCTGAGCCTGAAGGCCACCTGCAGGGCTCTCTGAGGAAAGAGCAGTGGCTGGGAAAATGCGTTCCTAAAGAAGTCGTTTTCTGGCTCCGTCTCCTAGCCGTTCTGGGTCCTGGTTGCACAGGGAATCCCCCAAGGATGGTTTTACAATATTGATGCCAGAGACAGACCGCTCTGGGGCGGAGCCTTGTGATTCTGATGCACAGCCAGGTCAGAAAGCCTTTGCTCTCATCAAGGAGACCAGACTGAGCAGAGATTGTATCTCACCTCCTGGAACTCTGCGCATTGAGCAGTCAGTGGAAGCGATAAAAAGGAACTCCAGCAGCCGGCTTCTGAGTTGGGACTTCAAGACTGAATCAGAGTCAGTTATCTCTATGGGTGACACGATCCCCAACTTAAGAACAGCTTTTACACACACATGGTCACTGCAGACTCACAGCCCACGTTCGTTCACAGCCAGCTCTACCCAGCAGGGCCCCAGGTGAGCCAGGTGGCCCAGCGCCACCCGTTTGTCGTCATTACCAGGAGCTGAAGAAAGGGGGGTTTCTTCAGTTCCACACCTCACAGCAATGAGCAGCAGCTTCTGGAGACTCAGTGAGCACAGATTGAGTTTTGTTTGTTTATCCACACAGAGCTCTTTCTTGGGGGAAGGTGAAGTGAGGTGTGCAGTACACACACACACACACACACACACACACACACACACACACATACACACTCTGACGTGGCGTTATTTGCAAACAATGATTTGTTCATCGGCCACACCCCTCCTCCCTCCTGCAGCTCACCCAGCTGACGGAGGATCGCAAAAGAGGGAGGTTGGCACCCGTCATCTTCAGCAGGACGAGGTTTCAGAGGTTCTTAGCATTTGATTTGTAATGTTTTCGGAAGGCAACATCAATCATGCGGGTGATGTGTGTTTAATCGTGTTTAAGAAGAAAAGAGGAAAGCCCGAACCCGCCTGGGAAAGCGCGGGCGTCAGTCACAGCCTCTTTGGGTCTGATGGAAAGCGGTCAGTGTTTTCCTGCCCACAGAGTACATCCTGGTTTTGGGTTTTGGGTTTTGTTGACCGTGTCCTTGTTGGTACAGAT